AGGCCTTCCTCCGCACAAGCCATTTGCTGGTGGCTGCACCAAGTAAGAATATGCTTGCAAATGCTGCGATCAGAATGAAATTGTCCCCGGAAAGGCATGCATAATTTTGAGACACTCTCATTCGTCGCAGGTCTGGTGCTAAAGTGGTATTGTTAAACCCGGAAAACTGTTGCAATCCTCCCTTGTGTCACTTCATAACTCCTATGAACGAGACCTCAAGTGTGCCACAAACTAGGCTCTTCTCATCTGGATCTTACATTACCTAGAAACGCGGCGGTCTTCTTCATCATGCAGCTGTATGCTACCTCCTTCCCTACAGAACCTCCTAAGAATAAGGCCTGAAAAAACGCATGAGCTACAGTCAACATTTCCTACGTAATTAATGGACATGGGTCCCTTATTAGGGACTATGTTAAGAATGCTACTAAACTACAAGGAGGACCCCTATGTCCACTGTTACAGGCCCCTTAATAAGGCTGAGATTGACAGCAGCTCACAGGACCTCACTCGGGTCTCATCTGAAGGCGAGGGACGGGGTAGTAAGGAAGCGGGGAGTGTATATACCCTGGACCCTAAAGGATAAACCTGAAAAACACTATCCGCTACTGTTGACTCTAACATCATTCATGACCTTAGCAGCAAACAAAGCGGCACTTCTCAAGGCACCAGGTACTTAGGCCATATAGATGTTTCATCGTCCGTTTCCTTTCCCATATCCGTAAGCCCAGAGTCCTACACCCTGAACTCCCAACCCTAAACCCCATACATCCTAAATCCTAAACCCCAAAACCCCAAACCCTACACCCCAAGCCCTGAACCCTGAACCCCAAACCCCTAACCAAACCCATCCACAGCCAGTCACGGATTCCCGTCGAAGCCCGATGACGTGAGGTCGCGCTGATGTTGTTGCCTGGCCAGAAGCCGGGCGCAGAGCTCAAACACGATTTAGAATTTAGGACATAAGATTGCGGTTTCAGGTGTAGAGTTTGGAGTTTAGGCTTTTTCCTTTTGATTTAGGGTTTAGGGTTAGTATTAAGGAGTTTAGGGTGCCCAAGCTTAGTTCTCTATACTAGGGTCATACGCACAAAACTCTAAATCCAACTCGAGGAGATTCCACTGCAGGGCATGCAGTAGCTCGCGCACGATGCAACTTGGGGCAAACAAAAAACTCCTTTGGGTTCAGGGTTTAGGGTTCAGGGTTTAGGAAACCCTAAACCCTAAATCTTCAGGGTTTAGGGTGCATTTGAAGCGGCCTCCCTCCTACTTGGAGAGATAGGAGCCCGTAGATGTGTTTTTGAGGGTCCAAGGACTCAAATAATAGGGTTTCAGAGCCCAGATACTACAATATTCATGTATTTGGGCCCTAAAACCCAATTTTTGGGGTCCTTGGACCCTGAAGGTAGTTTTACATGATCCTTGTCCAGTCTCAAAACCTAGTGAGAAATATGAGCTTATAGGATTTTCATACGATCCCAGTTAGCACCCAGTGAGCTCTAAAGCTTCGACCCAAGAACTCACAGTAGGTTGAGGTTTCCACCCTAAACCCTAAACCCTAAACCCTTTAGGGTTTAGGGTTTAGGGTTCCAATACTAAGGATTGTAATATTTGGGTGTCTATATTGGAGTCCCCCTATTTATGGAAACTACCAGGTCAGCCTCGATCGGCGGCCGCTGAAGCATGCTGGATGCATCCGCAGCCTTCAAGGCGGTGTTTGCTGGACTTAGGGCAGCACATGGTAGACATTTTTCGGACGGCAATAGTAGTCCAGAAAGAAGTGGAAGGCAAACCTTTGAGTAAAAGTGATGACTTTGGGAAATTGTATTGTGCTATTTATCGATCCCTCAAGTGCCCCTCTTAAGTTACCGATGTGTCCCAGAATTGTTCCAATACTCACATGTTCATTCCGGCTCCCCTCTTGCTGGCTCGAGACCTAAGGCGGTTATAATTGGTTTCGAAGTACAGGCATACCAGGGTTATGGTGGCGCCGAACCTCCAACCCTAAACCCTAGACCCTAAACCGCGTGGACATGTTTTGTAGAGAAATCCGCCCCCGAGATGCTCAGCAATCTCCAGGACTCAGGATGGGATAGACTCGGGGGCCCTATATAGAGAAAAACAATCAAATGACTTCAGATGGAGTATCTAGGGATTGTGGCCCATACAAATTGAACAAATATTCCTAGGAATATCCCAATATCGGGATTGTGGTCCATAACAATTCAAAAACATATTCCTGGGAATATCCCAGGTGATACCTATTCTCCAGACGGTTTGGGGTTCAGGGTCTCAGGGCGCTTCCAATTCCAATGCAATCTCAGCCACACGGTTTAGGGTTTAGGGTTTAAGGTGGGTCTCAGTTTGAGAAGCACTGAAAGCTCTAAACCCCTACAGGGTTTAGGGTTCAGCGTTTTACTTAAGCCCTAAACTCTACACTCCATTCCCCTGTTAGGTGACGGCAAATCCTAAGCCCTCAATCCTGAACCCCTAGCTCCTAAGACTGTAAACTTCAAGACCCAAAGCCTAAAGTCTCAAAACCCAAAACCCAAACCGAGGGCCCTAGCATCTGCATAACACCCCGCAAACGGTTTAGGGTTTAGGGCTTAAGGGCCCCAAACTTGAAACCCCGAACCATAGGACCCAAGCCCTACACACTAAGCTGTAGGCTTTACCTCAGATGAAATGCTATCAACAAAAGAAGGATGTGGCTGTTGGGGACGACTGACTTTCCAGCTGATTCTTCACTATTCCTCTTTAGGGCATTGTAATTTCACAACTCGAAGTACTGCATAAACCCGAACTATTGCCGGTCTCCATTTCACAGTCCATGTGATTCTCGAGTTGATTCTCCATTATTCGGGAGCTATAGCATCACCATGCAAACTACTGGTCACTCTTTTCGCCAACAACCATGGCAAAAAGTTGAAACCGTGACTGTGCCCAAGAAACCGAAAAAGGATGCGCAAAAAGTTAAAAAAGGCTTTCTGTTGGTTAAGTGAATACCTTGCGCCAGCGCAACATCAGTTAAAGTACTACAGAAGCCCTACACAATCACAGGTTCCGTTTCATTGTCCATTTGATTCTCCATGATTCCTGCGCCCTAAATGTCCCCCTATATGCGGCTGCGCAACGTCATTGCAAATTGCAGTCCGCACAGCGGCTGCTGCAAGCAGCAGTCCAAAGCGCAGCATGTAGTTGAGGGCGTAGAACCTTAGATTTGGGTCCTGCCCCCACCCATTAACAGACTGTGATTAATAGACTATATTAAGGGAACTATATCGTCATACTATACATATCTTTCCAAATCTTAATTGTTGAGGGCATAGAACCTTCGATCATCAGTTCTCCTACTACCCCCCCTATCCTACCCCTGGGCTAAAGAACTTAAGGGGCAACCTAGGGGGCTACTAGTACAGGGGGTAGTAGGGGAAGCCATGATTAAACAAGTTATGCTGAACAAGCGTACCTGCTTGCAGACAGGTCGGTCTCGCTAGGTGGCAGTATGTGGGCCGGCATCCAGACATTAACTTGGGAAAAACCCGAAAAGCAGTTCAGGACCCGAACGAAAGTATCTACTGAATCACCTCCCTAAACCCTAAACCCTAAGCCGGAAACTCGAAGCCAGAGACCTTTCCCAAAGGATCCAAATATCCCAATCCAGGAAATGTGTATAGACTTTGGGGCCCAACGTAGGGACTAGAATCCCTAGCCCCTAAATCCTATTTGTATACTTGGATCCCTAAACCTCAGACTCGAGTTGTATACGTGGATCCCTAAACCCTAAACCCCTAAATCCCAAAACCCTAAACCCTAAATCACAAACCCTAAACCCCAAATCCGAAACCCTAAACCCTAAACCCTAAATCCTAAATCCCTAAACCTAAATCCCTAGACCTTTCAAAGGGAAGGCTGAGCCAGCGACGTGAAAAGAAGTATACACGGTACCGGATGAGTCGACGTGACTGTTTGAGCCACGGAGGGTGGCAGGGATCTGGCTTCACAAATCTAGGGTTTAGGGTTTTAGGGGTTTAGGATTTTAGGGTTTTAGGGTTTAGGGCTTTAAGGTTTAGGGTGGAGTTTAGGGTTTTAGGGGTTTAGGGTTTAGGGTTTTAGGGTTTAGGGTGGAGTTTAAGGTTTTAGGGGTTTAGGGTTTTAGGGGCTGAGGGTTTTAGGGTTTTTGGGGTTTAGGGTTTAGTGTCAGGGTTCAGGCTTTTAGGGTTTACGGTTTGGCTGGTAGGGGGTTTGCGGTGTACTGCAGGCGCCTGAAAAAAGAGCAGAATGGAGCTTCGGGGTATACTTCTACTATAATGATCATGAGAGGGTTATCAAGGACGGATACAGAAAACTGTTCAGTCATAGAGGCCTCAAAAACATTTGCAGGATGATGAAGGAAGACTTCTCTGTGAGTTCTCTGGGCTAGGTGTCATTTTGTTGAAATTCTTGTAGAGGGGGGCTTTCGTATGTTGGGGGGATATGTAGGCGGGTGCCAGGAGCCCAACCCATCTCACTAAGCTTACCTCTCACTAGCAAGGAAACAAGGAATGGGATCCTTGTAGCAGTTCACCTCCCAATAATGTTGTAGTTTCCATTTTCTTTTCCAGTCCTTCATTCACCTAAGCCCTAAACCCTGAACTCTGAATCAATTATATACTTAAATGTTCTTTTCCATTCCATTATTCCCCCATCCTACGCCGCAAACCCAGAAAGCCTTAAACCTAAAAGCATGAAACCGCACAGCCTAGGCTCCAAACCCTGCAGCTTAGAATCCGCTCTTGGCTTCGAGGTTACAAGTTCATTGTGATCCCCTTCTTATCTGGGTTGGCCCCTAAAACCCCTTGAAAAATATTAGTGTATAGGGTCCCTTATGAAACCCTTTAGGGAAAATATTACATGTCCCAGGAGCCTACCCAGTTATCCCCACATCTGCAAGGCTGCATGAAGCATTGACATTTTGAGAAAGTCTCATGATTGCACTTTCAAAGAGTGTCTAAGCTCCGGGCAGCAAGCCTCATCTGCACAACTGTTGGAGAGCTCTCGCACCTCTGCAGACAAGCGATGAAAAAAGCTGGACTCAAGGTGAAGTTTGCCGTACAGCATACCAAGGCTATAGGGTTTGGGTTTGATATATCTGGAGGCTCTTTGCTCTCCCCTATCAATCCATCCTTGTGTGGCTTTGGTAAGAAGGCTTGGAATTACCCATTGACGTTAGATACGTCTCTATGTGAGCTCAAACATTTAAGCTCAACCCTGACTTAGTCCTGAAGCAAACGCCCACTAAACCCTAAACCCTGAACCCTCAGCCGTGAAGCTAAACTTCTGAACCCTGCTCCCCAACCTCTGAACCCTAAACCCTCAGTTCCAAACTCCAACACCCTAAACTCCCAAACTCGTGGACCCTAAACCCTAGGCCCAAAGGCCTCCTGGTGGTGGTCGCAGGGGTCTGTCCAGCCATCACCTGTGGGAAACCCTCATTTACGGTTTAAGGTCTAGGGTTGAGGGTCAGGGCTTGATATCTAGGGCCTGGGGGTTTCTGGATTGGAGAAGTACGCATGTCATCAGAGACATGACGGCTTTGGGGTTTTGGTTTTAAGGTTTATGCGGCAAAGTGCAAGCAACTAACAACAAAGAGGCAAGCCTGAACCGTATCTGGGCTGCTGCTAAAGAAGTCAACCTAAGCTGCCATAATATGGATACTTTGCAAGCAGTACGGTTTCCTCATCATAGAAGTAGTTTCCGAAAATTGGGGGGGTGGGTTCTCTAACATAGACCCCAAAAACTTAATCCTCAGTACAGCAGGTATCGCCGAAAAAGGGTCAATTCCTTAAAGCCCTAAACCCTACAAATCCCCATTATATCCCTACATAAAGCCTTGAAGCCCCTGAAAAGGGACCCCTTAGTCCTGGCAACCTAGGAAAGCCGCCACACACATGCAGTTCAGGGTTTAGGGTCTTTAGGCTTTAGGGTTCAGGGTTCCTAAGCCCTAAACCCTTAACCCTGAACCCCAAAGCCCAAGGGTTTAGGGTTAAGCCCTAAGCCCTTAACCCCACATCCTAAACCCTAAACCCAAAAGTTAGGGTTTAGGGTTCAGGGTTTAGGGTTTAGGGCTCAGGGTTCCTAAGCCCTAAGCCCTAAACCCTGAACCCTACACCCAAAGGATTTAGAGTTCAGGGTTTAGGGCTTAGGGGCGGCAAATGCAGGCGGCGGGCAGGAAGAGGACCCGCACTGGCATTGTTCGCATCGGGCTTCACCTTGGCGTGCGCAGTTGAAGGTTTTTTTGTCAGGGGTTTAGGCTTTAGGGTTTAGAATTTAGGGTTTAGGGTTTAGGGTCTAGGGTTTAGGGTTTAGGGTCTAGGGTTTAGAATTTAGGGTTTAGAGTTTAGAATTTAGGATTTAGGGTTTAGGGTTTGGGGGTGTAAGGTTTAGGATGGTTTAGGGTTTGGGGTGTAGGGTTTTGGAAAGGAGGACAAATTCCAAGCAACCTTATAGAAGAGTTCCATTTTTCCCTTGAATTCCTTCATTCCCTATACCAACAACCAGCAAATCATACAACAAGACCCAGAAATTGGTGTGCAAAAAGCCTAGCTATTAGACCTTAAAGGTCCCTTGATCTACCTCTATTAGGGTCCTAATGGGGAATTTTAGGGTCTAATAGCCCATATTGGTAGGCCACTTTTCTGGCACCGACCCGAAGACCTAAACCCGAAAGCCTGCCCTTTTGAACAGCCACAATTCTTACTGGCCAAAGACCAAACCCAGAGAACACATCTCAAATCATAAATGGGTGGTTGTCAAAATTATGGTTCCTTTTTGGGTCCCTATTCTAGTGCAGCACCTAATATTTAGGGACCACAAATTTTGACAACCACCCAAATGAGGACTTACCATCAACTCCCCAGACTCAGGGTACTCTTGGGTACCCCAAGGCTACGCGGGGAGTATGAGGGGGATTGTCAAGATTATGGTCCCTTTTTGGGTCCCCTAAATTAGGCCCCGTATTAGGCCCCGTATTATAATAGGGACCCAAAAGGGGACCATAATTTTGACAATCCCCCATGAAGAGATGATGGGGGTCGTCGCGAGGTATGACACGGATCATGCTGAAAAACTGGCATTGGGCTCCTCTGATAACTGCTGCTGGTAAGATGCCTTCCGGAGCGTTGTGCTCGTGGGTGTGGCCAACACCATGATCATCGTGCCAGTGCTCATGGCTGTGTCCTGGACTCTTTCGGTCATCTTCAAATGTCATTGCCCAGTAGCCTTCTGGATTTAGGGTTTCGGGTTTAGGGATCTTGGGTCTGGGGGCTCAGCTTTGCTTGGGGTCTAAGGTTAGTGGGTTGTGGTTCAGGGTTCAGGGTCTAGGCGCAGTCCTGGAGCCTCGTGGCTATGTCCGTGGCTATGTCCAGGTCTCCCATGGTGATGGCCTTGCCAATCCGAATAGCACGGTCACAGGAAAACCGAACACATCCGTGCTTCATCAGAGGGCGATGCCGATACTGGGGTATACAAACATCATATAGGGATCTGAGTATATGTAGAGATCTACATGAGTAGCGTTTTTTTGGTGGTGAAATCCAGTAAGATTGCATTCCTTGTATGAAGTACTATACCCCAAAAGGAGGATATAATCTTACTCTATATTGGGTACCACAGTATCCCCAAATAAAATACTAGCCTCGTGGATTGGAATAAGACGTTGGGGGTGTAGAATGCTGCAGAAGTGACTTCACAACGGAACGGTATTGAAACCGTTTCAGGCTTCTACATTAAAGACCCTGTAAACGACTGTATTAGCCCAGTTTCTCCTCCAGATTTCCTTCTACTAACCTTACATGCCCCACAAGTGGCTGATCAAACCATGAGCTGCGAGCACTGCCACTTGCAGCGCACAAGGCGGACCCAGATCATCTTCTGAAAGTTCTGTTACACAAATCGCAAGTTGCTCATTTGGTGTTCTTCCATCAATTGACGGGGCTCCTACTAAACTATCCTGGGAATGCTGTAGAACTGCTATAAACCCTACATGTCTATAACCCAAATGTCATTACTCTGTGTTCTATATAGCCCTTTCGTCTGCCTGTAAACCCTACCCCGCAACACCCTACACCTTATACCCTATACCCTAAACCCTATGCCCATGACCCTAAGCCCTAAACCTTTTTAAGGCGACGACATTACCCGAAGCTAAGGTCAAAGCAGTCTGTGTGCTCTGCCACATGTGCATGGCTGGCGTGGTGACTGTAACCATGCTCTGAGTTCTCATTGCCTTGGCAAGCTTAGACTAGGGTTTAGGATTTAGGGTATCAGGTGTAGGATTTTAGGGTGTAGGGTTCAGTCAGGGCTTAGGCTACGAATGCGCAAAGGATTTATGGGGGGTTTCGCGGCTTTAGGATCCAGAGGGTTTCTGGCTTGGGGTTTCGATGCGTGAGGGGCCAGACGATTTGAAATCCAGTTCTTTGAAGGGGCTAGAAACTGGTCGCACACTGGGAGTATGCGGGAATTATGGCTTCCAAGCCATCACATACCTAAGTCCACCCTAGTCTACCCCACCCTGGACCCTAAAACCCACAATACCGCCCTGAACCACAAACCCACAACACTGTACAACTCGTTCGAAAGGCTTCTGTATGCAAGCACACCAACCCCAAACACCAAAAATGCCCCAAGCGTATAACCCAAACTCTTGGTTGCTGAGCTCCTAAACTCCTAGAGCTAAATTTTTGGGTTCAGGGAAGTCCTAAACTTTAGGACATCGGACTTTAACGATGAGTACGGCCACCGCTTGCCAGCAAGTGGCACTCCGGAACGTCTGGAACATCTGGAGTCGGCCTACAGTGCACAGTTGATATAAGGATCAAATAAGGGTTGCAAGGGGATTTTAGGGCCCAGGGGCTTAAATTATGGTTTGTATACAACAACTCATATATCTCTATATATATACATCACAATAGTACGCACTATTTAGGGTGTAGGCGATTTGGGGGCGTAATAAAAAATCTGATGGGGAAGGAAGTGGACAATGGAAGGGACATCGGGCTTCTATGGGGATTAGATCAGAGAGGATTGTTGTAACCGGTAACCTCAACGCCCAAATTAGGACCCGTATTATAATCATGCTTTTAATGTCCAACTTGGGGCTTGGTTTTATCAAGCTCTTTCTTTATCAGTGCAGTGAGGGTTTGGATGTATCACACAGTTTGGGGCTAAGGGTTTAGGATTTTTGGCTTAGGGGTTACACCCTAAACCTCAAGCTTCAAACCCTAAATCCTAAACCCCTAAACCCTAAACCCCCAAACCCTAAACCCTAAGCCCCTAAACCCCTAAACTCTAAACCCCTGGAGCCTAAACCCTAGCAGGCGTGGAAGCTCTGGCAAGTCAGAGCTGCTAAGTAGGGAACACGGACATGGAGAATCAAATGGAAAAGAAGATGAAAAATGAGCTGCTAAGTAGGGAGTAGGTCCCTTTAAAAGGGGTATGTTTAGGGTTTAGGGTTTAGTAGCGATATTACCCCAATAATGGAGACTCAAATGGAGAAGAACATGGAAAATTACATGGAAGCCGAGATGAATTTGGGGCTTATACAGTGGATACCAAGAATCCTGCAGGGCCTTAAGTACCTTCTACCCCAGTAGTACCCTTTTCTGGGTTGCTGTTAAGGAACTTAGAATAAGTTGGTTTAGGGTTTAGGGTTTAGGGTTTAGGGTTTAGGGTAATGGTATTGTAGTATATCAAAGTCATGCAGGATGTTTAGTATCAGCAGCATGACTACTATGAATACTGTTGTTGTAGCTACTGTAATTACTGGTATTGCGATTAGTAGACTAGGCAGCTATACTGTGAAACTCTATGGGTGTTATGAAGGTTTAGGGTAATAAAGGCAGCTATAGAGGGATTTAGGTTGCAACCTGCATTTTACCTGAGCATGCTCCTACCTGAGGAAGGGATTTTCTCATCACTTCAGAACCCATGCGTCCTCATCGAGGTATGGGTTGCTTGCTGGGTCCAAAGACTCGATATTCCTCATTGGGCTCCAGTATGACAACAGCGTCTGACATCATTTACAACAATTCTCAAGCTAGATGCTAATGATTAGCTAGCTACGTGCTTAGGGAGTACTGTCGCGTTGTTCTCTCGGTGCTCTAGACAGGAGCCTGGACAACCAGCGTGGAGCTCTAGAAATTTCAAACCCAACGAGTAACCTTTTCTAAATTTCTTCAGGCCTAGCCGACTAGCCAATGCAGACTTCAAAGAACACGATCAATGTTTTGCAAGCTTCCATCTCATACTCCTTTGAATGGATGCGAAACAAAATTCTAGTGTACTGCTCAGATGCTTGTATTTCTAGTCTTTTACCACGAGCCTCTCAATCCTAATCAAGAAAAACCCTACGTAAGCCCTCAACCCCAAATATCACAAACCCTCAACCCTAACCCCCAAACCATAAGCCCTGATGCCCCACAAACCTCTCTAAAGTCCAAGAGTCCATAGCATTTCCCATTATCTTCTCCATTGAACTTTCCAGTGCTTCAAGGATCACCACTTAAGCCAAACGCCGCCCTAAACACTCCGCCGTAAACCCGAAACCTTCCTGCTCGGCCCTAGACTAGAAACCCTAAACCAGAACCACTAAACATTCCGCCCTACACCCTAATTCAAGCCTGAAAGCCCAACTATAGTTAGAACCTAAACAATCAGCCCTAATGGTAGTCTACATTTTCTTTCCACTATCCCTATATAGCCCTGTATTATACCCCCTATATTCCCTGATTCCCTACTTACCACTGAACCCTGTACTCTGCTTGAACCCAGTTGCAGCTCAAGAAAACCATCCAGTTGGATGGGATAGCCGGCTACCAGGTCATCCTGCAAGATTTAGGCTATGTGGCAATGTTACGGAACATCAGTGATACAATCCATAGAAACCCCTGAGGGTCCAAGAACCCAAATAATAGGGCTGTAGGGCCCAAATACCGTTCATATCATGTTTAGGATGAGAGAATCCGGCTGGACCCCCCTGATTATGAGGGCCGCCTGCAAGTTGAGACTGAACTGATGCTGCATACCTTCTCCTGGCCTTTGTTGCGTGGCGAACGTCTCTGTGGAGCTGCGCTCTTTTCAAGGGTTGTTAGGAGGGACCCCTCCTAAAGCCCCTAGATTCGATCTTTTGTCACTAGCATTTGCCCCGGCCATGTTCAACTCAGGTACGCTATGAGGGCTTTGCAAAATGTGGGCTATGTCGACTGTGCGAACTGCTCCACACAACAGAGCCGTAAAGCCACAACCCGGAAACATGTCAGCGCCAACATCAGCTTGCTTAAGGCTTCTGTTGAAACGACACGCTCCACATATTATAGTATTTGGGCCCTAAAACCCCATCATTTGCGTCCTTGCACCTCTAGGGAACATCTTGCACCACTTAGAACTGACAAACTCCTTCAATTACCGGGTTTAGGGCATATGGGAGTGCAAGATTACGTCCATCCACGGAGCCTTCAATGGTAATGACAAGAAACAAAAGGACACAACTGGATCAAAGCTTGCTTTTTTGCTGAGCTCAGGTTAAGGGCGCAGCCGACACCCCAAAACCGGGTCTAGGCTTTTTAGGATATAGGTTTCACAACCCTAAACAATACACCCTAAGCCCGTTTGGAGGGTTTAGGGTTTGCGGATCAAGCTGTAGGTCCTGCAGGCAGGCAGGCGTCACAAGACAACGGGGACTTAGGTGGCTTTCCTTACTCAGAGGTCACAACGGGTTGGCGATCTAGACGCTCCTCGTGGGACGGAATTCCGTGATTCAGTGCATCTTCATCTTTATCACAGGAATTCTGTCCTTGCAACAACCCTCTGACCCTAAACCCTAAATCCGAGATCCTGAACCCCAAACCGCGAGTCTCAACCTCGGACCTCAGATAATCAGACCCTCAAAGCGTGGTGTTTGGCAGGTTTGTCAGAGTTAGAGTTCCTTCATGCGTCAGGGTTTAGGGTTTAGGGTTTAAGGTTTAAGGTTTGGGTTTTAGGGTTAAGGGTCAAGGTTCATTGATGTGTCCCTAACATGACACGGCGCCTACCATTTAGGGAGAGCTCTACGTTGCACAATTCCCCATGTCCCTTTTCATGTTACCTTTAAACCCTAGGCCCACAAACCCAAAACCCAGAGTTCTAAACTCTAAGTGCTAGCCCATCCTAAACCTGAGCCCTAAACCTCAAACCCTAAGTCCTGCCTTGAGATCCGGACAAGCTTCTCAGTCAGACTCCCCTAACAAAGAAGAAAGCCCAAAAGGGGCACACATAGGATATGGTCCTTTTGAAAGGGGCTTCTGGGGGTTCCATAGTATTTTGGGCAGGTAGCACCGACGGTTTTTGGCCGTAAAGACGCCACAGCCCGATGTCTGCATGTATGTGTAGGTGTATTTCTGTACATGTA